TTAGATTGCAAACCTGGTTATTTCCCCAGCTTTTGGTTAGTATAACCCTCTAGGGAGATTTCATGATTTCTTTCTTTCTTTCTTTCTTTCTTTCTTTCTTTCTTTCTTTCTTTCTTTCTTTCTTTCTTTCTTTCTCTTTCTTTCTCTTTCTTTCTTTCTTCTTTTTATTCTTACAATGTTGAATGCCATCCAAAGCCTATATAGAATTGGGCACCATTGTAAAAGCTAATAAATAATGTGATTGTTAATTAAATATTAAATTTTAATTTAAATGAATGTACTAAAATGTTAATTTAATAAATAATAGATTATTTAAAATAATAATAAGGTAATAATCACTTTAATAAATAAGCGGATTAGAATTACAATCATGAATCATAAAAAATCATTTCTCTTCTTCCTCTATTGTCCTTCTGATTTGATCCCATTTATAGGTCTAAGGGGAGAATGGTAGAATAGGTTTAGTCAAGGCGGAGGGGGCTTGGAGTCTTCAGACATAAGGATCTTTGACAAGGCCTTCAGCCTTTAAAAAAATTGTCCTGGTGTACCGAAGGATTAAGGTGTGCCCATAGATGAACCTAGACCTGTACCTAGAATAGAAAGCAATGAGGATGGACTGGAAGGTAGAATTCGGCTGCAGGTCAGTCCCGCAGGGAACTTCAATGTGTACAGATTAAGGCAATCTCTAGATGATAGCAAAAAAGTATGAAATAAAGCTATATCTGCTGCCAACTAGCGGCCAATTCTAATTCAAATCAGTAATTCAGTAATTCAGTAATTCAGATCTGATAGCCTTTTCTTTAGAGAATTCTCTGAACCAACACTGTCTTCTTCCATGATTGCAATGGGTAGTAACAAGCTTTGGACATCAGAAGAGATCTTTTCAGCCTTTGGAACTTCTACTACATGAAGTATTTTAAAATACATCTCATGAAGGATCAAATTTCAGACTGCAGAATAGCATGGAGCAGAAAGACTGGATTTATATGATAAGATAGACAAAATAAAGGAATTACCGAGTGTATAAAAGCTATATAATATACTCACTGTAAAAACACTTTTAAATTTACTCTGTGTATATTAAACTTGAAAGATGTCCCTCTGGAATTAGTATTATTTAATATATATATATATATGACTAGCTTGCAGTTTCCATAAATTAAAATGTGCCTTGGACTGTTGTTTCTTAAATTCAAAATCAAAGTTTTAACTTTGCTCAACAAATTAAAATGTTTAGTATTATGCCTTTATAGATATAAATTGCTATATAAGAATTCTAACTAATTTAGTTCTCCCAAAGTCATATTAAATTTATTTCTGTAGAAATAAGCTAAGGGGGGGAAATCAGAGGAAACACTTTCTTTGGGTTCTGAGCAAATTGGCCTGAATAGCAACGAAGCTCAATTAATCTGAAAGATGGAATTTGTTTCTCCAGATGTTTATTTGGAGTTTGAAAGCCATCTTAGCCATCTTATGGTAAGAAACTGGCCCATATCAAAAATATTCTGACATGGATATTAACTGCTGTATTTTGCACAGAATGATTACTTCATGAAGGTCCATAAGAATAACATGTTTTCCTCAGATTAGTGGTGGGATTCAAACATTTTTACTACCAGTTCTATGGGTGTGGTGTGGCTTAATGGTAAGGGAAGAATACTGTAAAATCTCCATTTCCTCCCAACCAGTTGGGACTCAGGAGGCAGAGAATAGATGTGGGCAGGCCCAGTCATAGGTGGCATTTACCAGGTTCTTTGAACTACTCAAAATTTCCACTACCAGTTTTCCAGAACTGGTCAGAAACTGCTGAATGCCACCTCTGTCTCAGATGCTTATATTACATCTTTCTTGGATTTGTTGATACGTTTCTGCAAAAAGACTACTAGATTTATTCACAGTAAATGAGTAAATATATTCTCTAATTTGTTTTAGGGGCGTGGAAGCCAAAAAATATTTCATGGGTCTTGTGCCGCCTGCTGAATCAGCTGACATGAAATACTCCAGCTCAAGAGATGTAATGTAAGTATCAGATTATATTGTTATAATTGTGGTATTGTGTAGGGCAAACAAAGTTGGAAAGAAAACACATCCATACCATGTGACTGGTCATTAATTTCACAAGACTGGGTGCACTGAAGCTGTGTGAATCCTTCAGTGCCAAAGAGGAATGAGCAAACATTAGGAAGGGTTAGTAAGTAAGTATTTTGGCATATTTAAAACATCTCTGTAAGCCAATATAAAATCATTTTACCATTGAAGGCAAAGTGATGAGCCTTCATCTTACCCATTGAACTAAGAGGACTAGCAGTAATATCTTACTTCAAGAATAGTGAAGGATACCTGATGGTAGGATATTAGTTTATGAAGTGTAGTGCATGTTACCTTGAACATAATACCTCATCTTCCATCAGAGGCAGAGCACAATTTGTTCATCCTTCCCAGCATCTGCTACCACAAGGCCCAAGACCTAATTACGCAAAAATTTAAAGAGAGATCTGAGCTGCATACATTGAGATCAGAGTGTTTGTGCCTTTGGGCAGCCATGTTCAGAAACTTGGCAGCTGCATCTCTTAGACTTATTTATATCTATCTTCTGTGATAGATTTTTAAAAATTAATATTGAACACGGAGACCTCTAATCCAACATGAGAAGAGGCAAGTTGTAAAAGTTCCTTCAACACAATCACATTGGAAGTATGTTAAGCATTTGCTGTTTTTGTTTATACAGTCAATCTCCAAGATAAAATTTTATGATGGTTCATCTTATTTTATTTATTTTATTTGGTTTTTGTTGTTATTGCATACTGTTGAGACAATTTGGTAGCCTGTCGAATAACAAATTTATTAAATAAATTGAAGAGGTATTTATTTATTTATAGTATTTATATCAGTATTTGAAACGTGTGTGTGTGTGTGTGTGTGTGTGTGTGTGTGTGTGTGTGTGTAGGAGCTTTCCAAGGATCATCATGGAGCACAAAAGAGTTGAATTTTCCCTTTTCAAGTGTTATGATAGCAATCAAAATCAGTTTCTGTTCCAATTAACCACACACAGATGGGCCTACATTCACGTGATACATAGGGCATCTGTCAAGCAGTCACTTCTGCCATTACCATTCCGCCAATATTATTTCTCCCATCCTTCCTCAATATTTGTTGATTAACAACTCTTCAAAGAGCAATAATGACAGCAATTTGCTTAATGGCAAACTTATCTCCAATATAAACATCTAAGTTTATGCTATGACAATCTTATAGAAAACTGGGCCAGTGAGACAGGGTAAAATATTACAGACCGGGTTTAAAATCGGATAGGGCGATTCAGTATGACATTGACAGTATGTAATATTGATACAATATCCTGAAAGAATCAAATATTTCTCGTAGTTGGTTTCAGTATTGGTATATATTCTTGTTGGGTTTATCTCAGTTAATGATTTCAGTAGGTTGCCAACAGGATATAACAAGGGATTACTATTGTCAAATTATAACATCAAATCTCTATCCAGCTATAGCATTTTCAGAAGAAAATGGGGACCGGCAATAAATGGAACTTATTCTGAGATTCAGTTCAAAGAATTCTCAAGTTGAACTAGAGAAGAGCCTTTAAATTGCTTTCCAAAACCAGTTGTGAAGTGTGTAGCAATAGCACTTAGACTTAAGTAACACTTCACAGTGCTTTAGTCTGCAATAGTGTATTCTAACCACTGATATGATTTGATTTGATTTTATTATATTTATATGCTGGCCTTTTCCCCCGAAGGGGACTCAGGGCGGCTCACAATTCAAATCAGGGAAAGGGGGGGGGGGGTTACAGACAAAAAATAAAAATAAAAACGAAACATAACAATGCATAATTTAAAACCACACAACAGTCATACCATTCGAGACGGGGGCAACAGTGCCACCAGGGCTCGGTGTATAAATACAGGGGAGTCTGAGGTTGATTTTCTTTCCGGGATCCAGTACTTTTGGTTTCATTTCATCTTAGGAAAAGACTTAGGAAAAGACTCAATCAGGGAAATATTATCAGTGCCCCTTCATGCTTTCCCAGGCAACACCGCTTCAATGAACCATGCAGAATATTATCTGGGGGAAAGGATAGGATGCAAACATGGCTTATAAATATATCCTATTATACTCGCATTTCTCACTGACAGCATTGAAATATAGTTGTCCGAAAACCTAACTCATTTTAGTAACTCATTTTAATTTCCTAACCTTGTTTTGTTTTTTAGATTTTTCTGTTACTTTTGTTTTTAAGTGTGCATTATCTGAGACAATACTCTCTCAAAGAGAAAGATGGGGTAGAAGATAATTAAATAAGAAGTATTAAAATGTTTACTAAATATAAACCTTTAAAAATGTTTAAAGATATTTATCTTCCCCACCTCCCCATTGTCACTGCACAAACGTCAAGCACATACACCAATGTCTCTTTTCCAAGGAAGGCCTCTCTATTTCAACCATTTTGCATTTTTTTGTCATTTCAGGCTTTCTGCAAAAGAGGTGATCCAGTGGTCCCAGTCCCTAGAAAAGCTTCTCGCAACCCAGCGTAAGCATTTCTTTCTAATGACTCTATATACAGTGTTTCTCAACCTTGGCAACTTGAAGATGTCCGGATTTCAACTCCCAGAATTCCCCAGCCAGCAATCGCTGGCTGGGGAATTCTGGGAGTTGAAGTCCGGACATCTTCAAGTTGCCAAGGTTGAGAAACACTGCTCTATAACCTTAAAAAGAAACTTGGAAAAATGCAGCTGTCACCTTCTAAAAATATGAAAATCATAATCCAGAGCACTGGTGTTGTCCTTCAGATATTTTTAAAAAAACTAATTTAATTTATTCAATAAAATATTCTAAGCCCTGGTTTAATGACTTTTCATATGTACACATGGGCACATACTATACATCCAAACCATATTCTCTGACAGTAACGGAGACTGTTATTATGTGTATACAGGGTTAGCTTGGTAATCAACTGCTTTGAAATCCCTTCAATTTGGTATTCAACGCGTTTTGATGCAAACATTTTGCCCCAGTACTCATTGTTTGTTTGGTACTCAAGACACAAGGCAGAAGTTATCAATGTCAGCTGCCTTGTGACTCAGTATTCATTCCTTATGGGAAAATTATGTTTGGTATTCGCTGGCTGGGGAATTCTGGGAGTTGAAGTCCAGACATCTTCAAGTAGCCAAGGTTGAGAAACACTGATTTAGAGCAATGACTAAAATCATGTTAATGTTTTTATTCACTGTAGGTGGTCAAGAGGCATTCAGAGAATTTTTGAAATCAGAATTCAGTGATGAAAACATTGAGTTTTGGTTGGCATGTGAAGACTACAGGAAAACACAGGCTGATTGTTTACATGGCAAAGCAGAAAAGATTTACCAAGAGTTTGTCAAGTCAGATGCCAGAAAACAAGTAAGCACTAAATCAATCAATCAATCAACTGAATAGTTGGAGTGGAACATTCATTTACTAAGAGAATCATTTTCACGTAGTGAAATTTATTTTACCAAAGATTATTTATCAAACATTTGATTTTGTATCACTTCATTGTGTCCCCCCCTCTTTTATCATGAAATAAAAGACAGTTTAGCCCCATGGGAGGTTGAGGTCCTACAATCATGAATAGACTATTTGCTTATGTTAAGAATGAAATCCTGCAATCATTGTTTAATTTGCTATTTATGCCAGGGGTCCTCAACAATCTGGTCCATGGACCAGCATCTGGCTGCAAGAGAAACTGAGCTACTCAAACAAAGCCTCATCCACAGGATGTAGGTAGCATGCGAAAGAGCCGAGGTGGTGCAGTGGTTAGGGTGTAGTACTGCAGGCCACTTCAGCTGACTGTTATCTGCAGTTCAGCGGTTCAAATCTCACCGGCTCAAGGTTGACTCAGCCTTCCATCCTTCCGAGGTGGGTGAAATGAGGACCCAGACTGTGGGGGCTAATATGCGCTGACTCTGTAAACCGCTTAGAGAGGGCTGAAAGCCCTATGAAGCGGTATATAAGTCTAACTGCTATTACTACTACTAAATCACGCTCCTCCAGTCCATGGAAAAAACTCTTCCCACGGAACCACTCCTTGTTGCCTAAAAGATTGGAGGGAGGAGGGGGGATTGCTAATTTATGCCATAAGCCCTCAGTTACATGAGACTGCTTGCAAATTACTTGAACTGTATCCGTTATATGCATATTGAATTATAAGTGACTGTATTGCCATTTGCAATATACTGCTGAGGTCATTATGAAATGGGTTTCTAAACTGTGCTCAGCTTTACATGCTGTCAAGAAAAAACATACCCAGCTATAAATCATAAACTATGGGCTAACAAACCATAAATCATGTTTATGTTTCTTGTCTCAATCTCATAATCTTAAATGTATACCTTTATAGGCTATTCCAGCCCCTCCAACATTTTTTTTCAAGATTCCAAAGTCCAAGGGGTAGATAGCATAACTATACCAATTTTATTTATTACATTTATACGCCCGCCATCTCACAGCATCAGTGAACTGAGAAATATAAACTTTGTTTTGGGATTGATCTCATTTCTCAATAATTGCTCAAAGGTGCAATGTAGCAATCCTTCAGATTGCATCGAGTTTGACTTTAAACATTACTGTATCATTGGGGCACTTTTTACAAAGATGTTGAAGTTTCGTTTTGTTCTCTCCAGATCAACATTGACTTTCCCATAAGAAAATCTGTAGCTAAGAAAGTTCAAGATCCCACACCTTCAAGTTTTGATGAGGCTCAGAGACTTATATATGTATTGATGGAGAGAGACTCTTATCCAAGATTCCTTAAATCTCAACATTATCATAACCTTCTAAACAAGGTTCAAAGCAACCGGGTCAAGTGAAAACTGAGGATCAGCTTTGAAGCTTCAAGAGTTGCTGTGCTTCAGTACACTAAGTGGGACTGTTGGAACTAAGATGGCAAGGAAATGATGGAACTCTTCAAACAAGAGATGCAATCTATCAAGTTGAAGTGTCTGGAACACCCTTTATAAGGAGAAAGGAGAAAGAAGGCAAAGAGACAATTCTGCCTTGAAACTTGTCAGCTAAGGTTCACTTTAAACAGACTTCTAATATTCTTTCAAGTGACACTTATCAAATGTTGTGAACAGAAAAGTTTTGAAAAGTTAATTGCACAGCTATCAAGACAAATTTTAGGCTGTTTACACTGTGTGCATTATTCCCTTCTTAAGCATTTGATGTGGTAGAGCTAGATGTACGACCAGATTCCCTTGAAAGGTATGGCTTGTGAGGTGTAAGGAGTATAATGAATGGAAAGCTGTGCTTTCACTTTATGCTCCATGGCTCAGGCAAATTGATGCAAATCATACTTGCATAGACTCAAGAAACAAACATGGGAAATGTTAGGAAGTACTATATTGCTCAAGACAATTGTTTCATGGTCACTAAGGCATAAATTCCAAACGTTAAAGAACTTGGAAAACAACCTGGCATTCACAACAACCTTGATTAATAACAACCCCCCACCCCCCCAATTACAAAACCGGGGAGTTTTTCAAACATACAAGTTGTAATATACTATATTTAGCAGGCTGGGGCAATTCCTTGGGATGCTTTGTTAAATCTAATTCATATTGGCAATACATGACCAGCTCAAAAGCCTATGGTTAAAAAAAGTGTCCCCTTATTCATTGTTTCAAATGGAAAAAAAAAAGGTTCATTATCCCAAAAGAAGACTAGAAGGTGTACTGATTTTATATGCTATAAGTCAATAAATTATTTCTCTCCTAGTGATATATGTGCTAGCACAATCTGGTGTGTGGATTGTTGATGATGATGATAAACTATTTCAAGTCTCCTACTCTTCCTTCTATGGGTACTTTCTCTTTCGAATAGAGTTGGACTTATTAGCTCTTCCAATAGTGGATATCTTCACAGTCAGATCTGGTCTCTGTAAAATCAGACACATGGCCTCATTCCCAAGAACTCTTCCACTAACTCCCTGCAAAGCTGAACTGTGATTTATTGGCTTGCTCTTCTATTAGATGGACTCTGAATTCAAACAATACTCGACTGATATATTTCCAGACAGTCTTACTGTTTTTGTTGTTGTTGTTGTTTTGCAATTGATTAATGGGCAGCTAATGGAAGTATATCCCATCAGAACATTGTCATTCCTTTGGTTCAAATTTATTTAGTCTTAGCCATTAAAACTGTGGGGAACGGAGGAAAATATATCCAAAATAGTCTTCTCCAGGTGCCACTCTGCTTGAAGGAGAGATGACAGATGGCCAGCCACCCAGCAAATGAGCTGAGCTTGTCATTCAACAGCTTTGATTTTACAACTAGTGAATGTAAACAAGTTTATGGAATGAAAATTAACAAACTCTAGATGCACAGACACATATACAATCATACACACTCGCTCACAGAACATCATATAGCTGTGAATGATGTGAGATTGTGGTTGAAGGTTTTGGAATAAAGATCATATGATTTGGGGACAATTACTTTCTTCCCCAATTGCCTACATTCATCTTTCTACATTGTTCTGAAGAGCAGCCTTGTCTTCCAGAAGAGATGCGGAGGGAAGTTGCTACAAAGAGGAGAAAGAGGCAGAATATCTTTATGTGTATGGGCTGGTACAAACTGTCTTAATTTAGCTCAGATCCAAGCCATTGTATTTAGATGTTTTAGCCCTTGCTTTTAAAATAATTATTATTAGCCCCAGTATATCCCATTAAATATATGCAATATGTATTTTGATAACCATAATTTATGGATTTGAGTGTATTGTTTATTTCTGTAAATATTGATAGATTGGAACTTGATTTTCTGGCAATATAAGCTAATATTTAAGTAAGTATCAGCTATTTGTAAGTGATGTTAATATTTTGTGCATTACAAATTGTAAACATAACTAATGTCCACTAGATTAAAATATATTGTATTAAAATATATTGTAATCATTTGTGCTTTGGTAACTTTTTTTCCCTTTGTTATTAACAACTTTGAAAAGTGTATCAAGCTCAATATTCAACTTGATGGATAGAAATGAATTATGCAGGTATGTTTAGCAATTGGAAATAATTTGTAATAACAGATCTCTTGAATCTACAGAGCTATTTTCCTTTTCCAGCATTTCAGGTCATGTCATGCTTATTCAGCTTTATTAATTTAACTATAAGAAAGGGAGAACCATTAAAAAAGTTGTATAAAAACCATTATAGTTGTATAAAAGATCAATAGCTGCCATCCATTTCCAAAAACACTGGTTTGATTGTCTGGACCGGGGGTGGGTTTCTGCCAGTTCTAACCTCTTCTATAGAAGAGGTTCCACAAATCTACAGTGCCGTTTAGAACCGGTTCCAGCTCCCTCCCTCCGCCCATATGGGCATCATCAAGATGAAGAGCGAGAGGAGGAATTTTGGGAGTTGAAGTCCACAAGTCTTAAATCTGTCAAGTTTGAACACCCCTGGGGTTTTTTTCTAAAGGGTTAGGGGTGCAAGGGTTTTGTAACTTGACAGCTTTAAGACTTGCACACTTCAATGCCAGAGTTCCTGAGCCAACATGACTGGAGGAGGAATTCTGGGAGTTGAAGTCCACAAGTCTTAAAGCTGTCAAGTTTGAACACCCCTGGTTTTTTTTCTAAGAGGTTAGGGCTGCAAGGGTCTTGTAACTTGACAGCTTTAAGACTTGCGTGCTTCAAATGCCAGAGTTTCTGAGCCAACATTTTGGTTGCTAAGCAAGAGCGTTGTTAAGTGAGTTTCACCACATTTTACAAGTTGGCCACACCCACCCAGTCACATGGCTGGCAAGCCACTCCCACAAGGCAGGCCACATCTACAGAAGAGGTTCTGAAAATTTTTGAAACCCACCACTGGTCTGGACTCATTTCAATCAGTTTCTTGCCTCAGTTTTAGAACTGAAATTTGAGAATGCAAATGTGTAAAATTCAGTCAAGTCAGCTTTTTCCTTCCTTAGACCAGTGTTTTTCAATCTTTTTTGTGCAAAGGCACACTTTTTTCATGAAAAAAATCACGAGGCAGACCACCATTAGTAAATGTTAAATTTTTTTAACTCTGTGCCTATATTGACTATATATAAAGTAATTTTCCCATGGCACACCTTACACTATGTCACGGCACACTAGTGTGCCGCGGCACAGTGGTTGAAAAACACTGCCTTAGACCAGTAGTCCAGAAGGGGGATTAAAGACAAAGTTTGATTGCTTTGGTATTTGTCAGTTATATTTTACATTATATTGTGTTTAAGAACTACCTAAAACTGAAGACTGATCTGATAATTTAAAGTGAAGTGTAATCAGTATAGCTGTTGATCACATTCAACTGGAATGGTGAAATAAGGCTAGCATGAATGTTTGGGTAGTACAAGCACTGAAGGAGCACATTCTCTGTTGTTTCTCTGTATCCAGAGCCACAAGGACATTGCCTCTTCCAGTAGGGAGTTTCCCTGTATTGGCCTTCAAGGACAGCTGAGAGGAGGCCATGCCATCATGCCAGAATGAAGGCCCTCTGGTGGCATTTATGTTGTTTACACTGGCCTGCATGAAGCAGCTTGGCTTTAACTTGGCAAGACGTGTCACTTTGCAGAGACGGAGTGTTTCTCATTCCTGAGCTAAAGAGATGGCATATTTTCTTTGACAAAGTACTCTGTGGGGACTTCAGTGGAGGGAAGGGTCACGATGGCAATCACAGTTCCGTGATTGAAGTCGTGCCCTCTGTACATTCCACATCACTGCACATACAAAAGGGATAAGGCTTCCCTCACAATCACCACTTCAACTTTTCTTATACGTTCCCTCACCCCCACTGCAGATGCCCCTGCTCCTCTTTCATCACCTTGAAGCCTCAACTCAGAAACAAGGAAGAGGGGAATAATATGGCCTCATTTTCCTTTGCTTCTGCAAACAAAAGAACTGTTCTTTTTCTGGAAAGAATTTTGGAAGGCATGCTTGCAGTGGTGGGTTTCAAAAATTGTTCGAATCTACTCTATGGGTGTGGCCTCCTTTGTGGGAGTGGCTTGCCACCCATGTGACTGGATGGGAGTGGCTTGCCACCCATGTGACCGGATGGGAGTGGATTGCCACCCATGTGACCGGAT